AGCTGGAGACAACAAAAGAAACTCTAGTCTTCAGCTGTATGTGACACCGCATTTACGCTCATAGAGGAACACTGAAAAATGTTCTCCCAGACCTTGGTCATTGTCTGACTGCTAGCTTATTCAGATCAGTGGGAGCTTTGCCCAAGTGAGGACCCCAAGATTATGCTTTTAGCAAACAAAGTGATTTTGTGATGGGTAAAGATATGAGATAATAACCCTGCATATTGGAACTCGTTCTTCAGTACATTAAGAGAATCATTCTTCAAGTGCCGTAACGCACTCAGTGCACTTCAGTTCGTGCCTTTGACCTCATGTTTCATAAAGTGCCTAAGACATACAGATATGACATCCTGTCATGCATAATTGCTTACATTACAAATGCCTCACAGTTTAGAAAGAAACCTCTTGGCTTTGTTCCAACATTTATTTTCAGTAAACGCTTCCCATTTAATGCCTCAGCATTTATGTAGCAGCAGGAGTCCATTATCTTGTGACATGTTCGACTCCATTGACATCTCTTATTTAAACCCTCTAAGGGGAATGCTATTGCTATGCCATATAACACAGGAGTTTTCAGCAAATTGGCTTACTTTTAACCATTGCAGATGCCACAGTCTGTCACTCCTCATGCTTTGTTCTACAGCTGATCGCTTACTGATGACATTTGGTGCTTTAACTTTTTTTAAGCGTTCATTTTATTTTGTGTCAGTGCTTGGAATGTTACAGATGAAATAAAGCACAGCAGAGCCACTTGTAGTCCATTCAGTACTGTGTACCTAAGTGCTTGTTGGCCAGACTCTGCTGATGTAGGAATCTGTAGTATCATTTACTTTAATGGAGCCTTATTAATTTACACCAACAAAGAACTTGTCCCACAGCAGCCCTATCTTCAGTGCTTTTCATTTTGTGCTACTTTCTTGAATGAATGCGTTCATTAACAAGAAAAAATGTTACAGCAAGGGAAGGTTGGTAAAACAGCCTCTCTTCGGGGCCCTTGCAAGAAAATGATGAGAAAGCACAGATGGCTCTGAAAGCAAGAGAGAAAAGCTGTGAAAAGCAAGACTGTAGTGAGGGGAAAAACATGCTGCAAGAAAGAGGCAGATGCATGATGGAAAAAGGATTCAAGCTACCTATGCATCTCCCAAGTTAGCCACATGAATCCAAGCAAAAGATCCTATCAAAAATAGTCTCAAACTGGCAAATTCATTCCAGTATTCAATACTGAATCACTTATTCTGACCCCAAAGTATTGTGCCCAGTTTTCTTAAAGCAGTAAAAAAGGGTCTGCGCATTTGCCAGCATTAAATCATGTCCTGAATCTCTGCAAGCTAATGACTCCTAAGTAGAAAATCATAGTGGTTTAATCTTTTTTCTTCCCTCTTGGTGCTACTTCCCTTCTCAGCAGCACCAGAGCATGAGCCTAAGAGTGTAGGAATGATCAGAATGGATCATACCAGAGGTCTGTCTCTACCAGCATCCATCTTCAGCAATGAGCACAGCAGATGCTTAAGGCAGGGGTGTGGGAGCAGAACGAGCAGGTAGTCATGGTTCCTCTGTGCACTTTCAGCCTCTAAGGACTTTCCAAATTGCAATTAGCTCTAGGTCTGTACACTACAAACTGGCAGCAGCTTTTTAACATTGCAAGTGGTTAACAGAGTACAGTGCAAAGGTATTTATTTAGTTATTGCACATAGTATTGAAATAAGCCACCAGCCAAAGTTACGAGCGTTTCCTGTGGTAGCTTAAAACACTGTTTTGCGAAAAATGACTTAATCATCTGCTTCTCCACAATGTCAAAATAGTAAAAAACCTACTCAGAAGAAGAAAAGAAAAACCTGTCAAGATATCTACTTCAAAATACTGACCTGAAGGATTTTCCTTTTTCTCTCAAAGAGTCGGCAAAATAGTCATGTAAAGTATCCTAGAGATCAACAAATTTAGGCAGGTTGGCCCTTAAGACAATAAAAATAAAACACATTTTTCACATTTCCTTACTTAGCTTTTTTCATTTTTTTTTAATTAAATATTTTTTTACCTCCTTCCTTATGTTTGCCAAAACTGTTGATTTTAACTCTTAGCTGTGATGTACACGTATGGGCTGGGCCCAATACTGGCCCATTGCTGTTCATTTAAGAGAGACCTAGCTTTCCTTCTCCTGTAATTGTTGGGGGTAAATAAGAGCAAAATTAGATCCAGACAGACTCTGGATATGGGTAAGGGGAAATCAATGTGTGTTTAAAAAATAACAATAAAGAGAGCGATCGTTATCTTGACAATGAAGTAACTAGTCAATTGATCCCCCTGTAGGTGACGGACGGCAGGTGCCACAAAAGCCTCCTAGAGGCACCACTCGTGGTCCACCCCAGTTAGTGATACCCCCACCCCCACCTTACCCTCCTCCTGACAGAGACATTGTGGATCCAACAGTCTGTTGCAGAGAAGCAGATGTTACAGCACCAACAGAGCTGGTACCTAAACGTATGTTTGAAAATATATGTATTTGCATTTCCACTCTTCTGATGATTACTCTCAGGGATAGCTTTTCCAGACTTTCCTCTCTGCTCCCTAGACATACATGTCTCTTTTTTCCCTTTCCTCCAGCCTGTTGTCTTCTAAAATGCCCAATGCAGTGTCACTAATTCATATAAAGTAAACAAAGCGCTTGTTTGGAGACAATTTTGTGGATGATACCCGGCCATTGTAGGGAAGCATTTAAAAACAACCATCAAACCATGCGACTTTGTGCAGCTGGAAGCAGAAATCTGTTGTCTTATATTAATTCTCCATGTTCATTTTTTCTGTACTAACATTTTTTCTGTCTCTCCAGAGATGAATTCCTTTGAGAGTCAGTAGGTCTATCAGTCTAGGTTGAAAACTGCAGGGTGTCTCCCTTAGGAAAATTGAACCATTTACAGGAGCTGTATATTGTTAAAGGCCTTCCTGTCCTAATGGGTACGTCTTCCTTGCCATCTCTGGATAGTCCTTTGTGTCCTCTTCCCCTTGGGGCGTAACAGCAGAAATACGGTATTTTCCACATCCTTGTGTATTTGTGAAAAGCATGTTTTCATGCTACTTTTTGGTGCTTATCTATCGACTGTCTTTAAATCTTTGTACACAATCCAAGTCTTTGATCATGTATTATGTGCCCTCTGGGCTTGCCCTGCACACCCATGTAGATCCTGTAAAGGCAGCAAAGCTTTGCGCGTTATGGCATCTCATGGACACACTTCCTTTGAAGGTTAGGAGGATGTCTCCTAACCGTGGGATAGAGAAATGTCTCCATCAGCTGCTAATTTGACAAAAGATCTTTTTCCGGGACATTTTCTTTACCAGAATTTTTCTGCAGGTAGCAGTTACTCTGATACATTAATGTTGGTGTGTTTGCTGTTGGATACCAGCTAAATCTAAAGTGTTATTTTTCAAACTTGTGCTGAGGAAATACAGATTGACAAGTTTTATTGGGGGGGAGAGAAGGAAATTAAGGAGATCCATACTAACAGAAAACCTGAATCCTATTGAGGATTAACCCTAATTCATTTTCACCAGCATATGCGCAGAAATCATATCGTACTTAAAATCTTTTTTTGCTAGATACCATCAGCTTGCCTACAATGTTTTCTTTATTAAAAATCCGTTGTGGCCTTCTTTGCATTAATATTTCTGCTTCATTTGAGTTTCTACCAGTGTTATTTGGCAATGCTTTCCTGATCTAACTTGGTGATCAAATACCCTTTAATCAATGCAGCTCTGATTTTATCAGATTGATCATTTGCTCTTAAACAAACACAATATCCCAGCCAAAAGGATTTATTAAGCTTGTACATGGAAACATAACACGAGCTTTTATTATCCTCACTTTACTGAGAGCAAAAGTACAGCGCTTAGTGGGTACTTACTTTAGACTGAAAGCATCAGTGTCGGAGAGGGACAAGTTTAGCTTTATAATTATGCTATGCTCTACCTAGATAAAGATAAACATATAGATTTACACAAGAGAAATGTGTATAGATGTACCCGTGAGAAGCATGTATGGCAGATGCTAATTATATTGCCTAATGCCATTCTGAGAGGTGCTTAGATACTGTAGCGATTGAGCAGCGTAAGAACAGAGTTTTGCAATGATGGTTTTTATTGCCTGAGAATGCCTCAAGCAGTGCAAATGGGACTGGCGGTAGATTCAAAGAACAACAAAATTTTCGATCTTCCTAACTCTAACCTCAGTAAATGCGTTTTCTCATAGAACAAGGTGGGAAGGCGGATAAGCTACTGATGCCAGTTATTGATCAAAGGCACATTCGTGCTGAAATCCCTCTCAAAACAGCTTTCTCTGATGAGGATTGTGGTCTTCCTTTGCTGAGTGGGTGACTCAGCAGCAGTTTGTCTTTCACAAGATGAGATTCCCATTCAGAAATCAAAATTCTGTGATCATGTGGAGTTTAAATTATTGTTCGTTACAATCTGCCACTGTGCGTGGGGCACCGTGCCTCATCCCTCATTCTTTCCCAGCAAAAGCACAGTTGTCCCATTGCGCTCTGCGAAACTCATGTTGCGGAATTTTCATTTCATAGAGGATGGTGGTAATCTCTCTTCACAGAGTTTTCCAAACTTACATGGAGTGTAAGTCATTCATGAATAGGGCCTTTAGTAAGATACTTGGGATTTTCTGACTCTAATGGTAAGAATCTCTTCCACAAACGAGAGTACAATTGTTCCTCACAGGTTTTGCTCTTTAATCTTTTTATTATCATTACAGGACCTTTCCTCTTAACTTTTGGTTTGGTAGACCCTTACCTGCATATTGTGTGCATGTCTAAAATCCTATGTTTATGGGATCCTTTCTCCTTCTTTATCTTACTAATCAGATTGTTCATGGCCTGTGATTCTAAGATTGACTGCGCTTTGGGAATGCAGAAATGGAGATTGTGACCTCTGTTGCATGGCGTTTGGTTATGTCACATAGCTTGTGAAGTTCCCAATAAATGAGTCAATAGTAAGCTCTGTGCTACTTCCCTGAGGTAAAGAATGCACATATTGAAACATTGTTGCACCTAGACGAGCAACTGAAACATGCTGCCTTGAAATGTTTTCAACTATCTCATTAGAATAAATGTAATATTCCTGTGAGCCTCCGTGATTAGCCCTTTATTTGCCTTGTTATGAACTACCATTAAGAAATAGAGTAAGAAATTAAAAGCTGTTTGAAAAAGAATAAACAAGTCACCTTCTTGTAGAGTGAGATCCTGAAGTTAAACTCTTCACTCTGACACTGGATAAAGTGCTAGGGAACTCAGGGTTCGCACTGGGTAAGGGCTTGACAACTGATTGATTTTTAAATTTCGGAAAGTGTTCTGTCTTTAATGAAGTGAAATCATGATTTGAATGTGTCTTTGTTTTTAACTATAGATCAAAATAATCAATAATCACTTAACCAGAAAGTCTGAAAGAGATGAAGGAGTAGGTATAAGCATTTCCCAGTTGCTTTGTATAGATGACATGTATACTACTAGTTGATTGTTAATACCCGGTTAATTTTAAGGAACAAGAACAGAAAGGAGCCTTGTGCCAATATCTAATTTTTAATGTTTTTCTTTATATCATTGATATATTAACAAGGTAGTACAAGCCACTTGACAAATGCTGTGACAGTTTCACAAGAAATTTGGTCATGTTTCTTCAGTCATGTTAGATACATACCTAGTCTTTCACAGTCATTACGATAGTCTGTGAGGGTTGGACTTGGTTAACTTGAAGCAAAAATAGGTAAACTCTCAGGGAGGAAACTACATTTTCTGACATGTGGTTCTAAATTAATGGAGAACTGCAGGCTGCTCAGTAGGGAATTTTGCTGGCCTGTCATAGTACACTGCCTCAGAAGGCATCTGCCAAGTGACCCAGCCTTTTCTTTCTTAGACGTGGTCTTTGAAGCAAGAAAACTTGGAAGTGTGATTTAGGAGGCTTATACCACCATCACTCCTCTTACTCATGCAGCCTGATCTGAGGCTAAAGATTGAAGTTGAATCTCCAACATCATCTATCTTGTACCTCCTGGAGAATTAAAATTCAGGCCAAGCAAAGCAGAATTCATAAGCATGCTGCGTATCAGTGGGTGTTGTGCTGTTGGGATTGCATTAGCCCAGGGAGAACCCAGGGACTTAGAGCATCTGTGGGATTCTGAATTTTAATACATGTGCCCATGCGTCTACACCCCCTTTGGGCATCTGATTCTTTAATGTTACTGAGCATGCTAGCCATTCTGCTGTCTGACCTACACAATATTTATAATTTTATCCTTTTTTTCCCCCAACAGTTTACTGTTGTGCATCATTCCCTTCATATACAAAGCGCGTCTGACAGACCCTGCCTCTTCCTATGACCTTCATACCTCTGAACCTCCTGTTGCCTCTGCTATCCTGATTCTTCTGTTGCCTTCCTTCCTCCCCTGCTGGAAAAAAACCTTTTTTTTTTTCTGACCGAGATTTTGGCTTCCTTTCTTTTTGAACTCGCACATTCTCTTTTAATTACTATTGATTATTTTTGGCTGTGGTTCATACTCTTTTGTGAGATGTACGCTCCAGAACTGAATGCTGTGTTATATAAATCTATATGTCAGCCTCAGAAAGATTATCCATACATTTGTCTGTTCTTTTTCAAAAGTTTCTCTTTATTTTGAGCCATGGTTTAATTTGATTTGGTGTTTCAAATAGCGTCTCTTTGGGACGGGGTGTCTTACTTTCAATACTGTCTATAAAGATTTAATGGAAACTTCCTAAAAACATTTTTCTTTTTTTTTTCTGTTAGCGTGGGTATAGCATTTTACATTCTGTAATACATTCTATTTTTCCTTCATTGCGTATGTTTTGTTCCTTTGGAACAAAACCAGGACTGTGCATGGCCTAGTCAAGTTGAAGTGCAGGATTCTTTCCATATCTTGGCTATCAATCAAGCTGCTGAGAAAAAAGAAAGATCTGCAAGGGGCCTAAAAGGAATAACTAAGAACGAGTACCAAATGCATTAATTCATAGGATTTACGTCTGCTTTCATCCCGATGCTTAGTATGAGTAATTTATCTCAATGCTGGAGACATCCTGTGCAAATCAAGGTGTGTGTTCTATTTCTGTAACAAAAGATGCAAACACCGTTTTCTCAAGAGAAATCTTGTTCCACAAGTCTCCTTTTTACAATTGTACTAGGAATAGTCAGTGAGTTATAATTAAAATATCAGCTATAGGATGGTACTTACCAAAAACTTCTTTGCGCTGGAGAAAGTTCTTCATGTGAACGGCCCATAAGGCATGTATTTTTAATCATTCTGAACTATAAACATAGGTTTTATGAGTTGCAATGGTGCACACACCCAGAACTATTCTGACCTCACATGTACTGTGATTTAAGACATTTATGTTATTTAAATGAGTGAGTTGCAATACATCACTCTAATTTAAATAATGAAAAATTATTGTTTTACCCTCAAGCAAATA